AGGAAACAGACGGCCAAAACATCCAAAATTAAAACAAGGTGTGTTCAGTGCTGAGTACCACTCCTGACCACCAGGAGGCCAATACATGAAGGTCTATACAGGTAAATACAGGTAAATACAGGGTAATATGCATTGGGGAAGATTCACATGGCTTCTTGAATTTTATTTGGACATAGTCTCTCAGTCGTCTTTTTCACTGGCTTTTGGGGGTTTTGTCCAGCAGACAGAATTAAATTCTTTACTTTCACATGTTGTGCTTTTGCAGGTTTGTTGATAAACTGCTCACATTCATCAGCCAAAGGAATGATAGCTAGCATTAATGCTAACATCTGTAACCTCAAGCACAGGATTGGTAGAGCATGCTGAGCCTGGTAGACCTGGTTCAGGGTGTCCCGTCTTGGCCGTCTGGTTCCTGTCTAAGCGACTCTGGTTGGTAATGAAACAGGAAAGTTTTTTTACTCTAGCAGCCAAACCAACACACACACTTTGATAAGCAATTTAATCTTCATCAAATATGAATATTTAGTGTTGACTCGGTGTAACAAACAGGAAGCTGCATCAGAGCGTGTGTGTGGATCTGGTCTGTGTTCAGTCTTACAGAAGTAAAGTCAGATCGGATGTATAGTGATTTAAGTGATTTAAGAGAAATTCAGTTTTCAGTTACAGCTTGTAATATTTGTATGTTTCTGTTTTCTTTCTTTGTAATATGGAGAGTTGTGATGTTTATTGTGGGTTGGTTGGAGCTTGTAGTCGCTCTGCTGTGTTCGATAAAACCTATAAAGAGATTGTGACTGACATCAAACTGTCTGTCTCCATTTTATCAAACTGGTTCTGGACAATGCAGGTATATACATGGGTATTCACAGGAATATACACAAGTGTATTCACAGGAATATACACAAGTTGTCTTATGCTGCTATAGCGAGCAACTATCGGGGATCCATGGGTGCACTGAGCTCCGTGTTGCTTCTTCCGTGTTGCTGCTTTCTGCACTCGATTCATGTCCCCATTAATGCCATGTCACTTAACTTTTTCAAATAAAAAACTTCTTCCCCGGAGCTTCTTGTTGCTTTATCATCTGCAGCGTTCTCATGGATCCTGGGGAGGCCTCCTGCCATGGTCCCTGCTAGACTGCCATTGCTATATCACTGATATTATCGTTGGATTATGGTGATTTGTCGAGTTGTGTGTATACTATTGTTCTTGCTGTGCGGTTCTGTTGTCGCGCTCGCCTGTCCCCCGTCGATTTCTGCTGGTCGCCGTCGGTCATCGCTCTTTTTCGTATGATCGTCATCGGAGTCATGTGACTTTAAGTGTAGTTGGTTGCTGTGCTGTTGGTGGCTTCTACATCTGTTTTCTCTCGTCTTCTCGTGTCTCTCTCTGTGCTCTCTCTCTCGCTCTCTCTCTGCGCGCGCGCGCGCGCGCGCGCGCTAATTCTCTAGGTGCGCAGAGAGAAGTGTGACCTACCGCACTAGGTAGCCGGGAAGGCGTCTGTCCGGAAGTTCGTGGCCGCGTGTGAAAAGGCAGTGTTTTCCTTGGTCCCGTCGCCAAAGTGCTGTTGGCTCTTATGGTGCTGACTGTTGGTCTCATGTAATATGATGTGTTATCAAGGAGTTCGCTGGTCTAGCGACCTGCGTCTATTTGGAAAAGGCTGTGCCTGGAGATGTACTGTCTGTCTTTGAATGGCGCTGTAGTACATAATAGAAGTAATTGAATTTGAATACATACCTGGCTGCATATACCTGGTGGTATGATACCTGCTGTATATACCTGGTGTAGTATACCTGCATATGACCCGGGAATAGCCTGTGTGATGTATAACCTGTGCATGGATACTCCGGGAATACTGTGTATTGATTACCTGTGGCGATGCATACTCCGGTGAGAATAGCCTGGTGTGTATATACCTTTGCATGATATCCCGGGAATACTGTGTCTGGTATACCTGGCTTGCATACACCCGGGAATACCGTTTGTGGTATTGTAGTTACCTGTGCATGATACCCGGGAATACCTGGTGTGTGATATACCTGTGCAGTTGACGACCCCGGGAATACCTGTGTTGTATAGTACCTGGTGTCTATGTACAGACCCGAATACCTGTGTGTATTACCTGGCATAGGTTGTTTTGACCCGTGGAATTCCTGGTGGTTGTTTATATATCCTGGTGGCATACACCCGGAATACCTGTGTTGATGATAGCCTGCTGGTCATATCACCCGGTGAAATCTTGGTGTAGTATACCTGTATGAATTCAGCACCCGGGATATTCCTGGTATTTACCTGTATGATACCTGTGCATCGATACCGCTGTGCAGATATACCTTGCATGATGGCGCGTGTGCGCATATTCCTGGTGCATATTACCTTGTGTAATGATTCGCTTGGTGATAATATACTTGTGGTATATTCCTGCTGAATAGTACTTGTGTATATATTCCTGTGAATGATAGCTTGTGGTTATCATTATTCCTGGTGAAT